GTTTCTTCCAACCCAAACTGTTCTGTGATTCTATAATTCTGTCCTTCAAATAAAAGAACTGTGCTTATGCTGTACGCTGGATTTTTTTTTTTCTGGATTTTTTTTCTCTTTTCCTGGCTTTGATGTTTTTTAAGCAAAGAAAAGGGAAAAGGGACTGTGTATACTGAGCTGCTCAGACAAGAAGATGTGCCCCAAGCTGTCTGAAAGCAGACTGCCAATTAAGAGGTGACCTAAGCAGACTCCCAGGCTCTGGATCCCTCTGCTTAGAACAGTCCTTGCCTGCTGCCTCTTGTCATCAGCACTGGATTAACCAGGAGAGTAATTAAACGCTGATATGTCTCATCTGTGACTGTGGTGGATTCTGCATCTTTTGACATCTTTGTCATGATTCACTGTTCTCTAGTTCAACCACGACGACTTGAAATCAATGCTGTGTATGAGGCTCAATGCCTGTCTAATGCAGGTCAGCCTGAGTCATCATCCCTTGTGATGGTAGAACACGTGGATGTTTTATTAAAGAAAAAAAAAGAAGGAAAGAAAAAAAAAGTGGTGGTTGCTCGCCTACAAAGCATCTTGCTTGCGGCTGTGGCTGAGCTGGGCTGTTTTTCTGTTTAACAAGGAAACGTCAGGAGAGCCAAGCCTGACCTTGCTGAGGTCTGCTGAAGGTGCCCTGAGAGCGCTTCAGCTCTGGGTTCTTGCCGTGGGTAGGAGGCTGGATCTTTAACAAGGGCTTCTCTTCTCCAGAACGTTTGTTGTTGGAAGCAAATGGGTGTTAAACTGTACAAAAAGCCCAACGTCTTGTACCGTGATGCGAGAGCCCTGCGCCTTGATTGTAGAGTTGTCATGTTCTTGGCTGCCGATGCCCTTCTGAGCTCTGTCGCCAGTCTCGGTAGCCTTGCAGTGCCTGTGAGCTGGTGGAGGCAGGAAAAGAGACACTGCTGGACTTTCACAGTGCCCGGAGAGGACTCTTGTTCACAGCTTCATCCTTTGAGGACACTGGTAACCATCTGCAGTTGGAACAGCTCTGTTTCCCTAGCAGAAGACCTTGCAGCACATCTCTGCAGATGCACATGCTCGTTATTTCTCTGCAGCTTGGCATCCATGTCGTGCTCTGGTTTTTTTATGTAGTTCTCACAGTTTTCTGAGTGATCTGGCAATTTTGCCTTTTGTTTCTTGCTGGAAAGGGGCTACCACAATAAACCAGATGTGCTGAGATTCAGAGGGTGTGGATGTATTCTCACCATCACCTGCAATAACTGATTTCCCTCAGGATGCCAGTTACAACCCCACAGTGCCCAGGAGCAACCTGAGTCCCTAATAATCAGCTTCTACTGCAGTGAGTAGGTTGTTGCAATTGCAACAAAATCGATTGCTGCAGAAATTTCTCTCTGGCATAAAGAACATGAAAGTGTTCTCCTACGAAGCCACTCAAACCTAATGGAGATTTTATTGGGTTTAAAAAATGAAATGCTGGAAGCTCTTTTTCCCTTGCATCTGAGTGAGGAGCAAAGCCGGAGAACATACCAGAGAGACGTGTGCAGGTCTCCTGATCGTTTTTAAGCGGGTATGTGAGTGTTAAGCTCGCACATGGATGTGCTGTAACCAAGGACAAGCTTCAAAACTGGAGACACATTGAGGATGTGGCAGAAGAATGGGGTATGTGTTAAGAATTTGTGACACTACTTTTCTTGCCCAAATAAGAGGAATTGCCTTGCTATCTGTAAGCAGTTAGCTCATGTGAGAACAGCTCGGTGCGCTGTACGTTTCACATGTGAAGCAGAGGTAGTTTTGTTCACAGAATCGCAGAATGGCTGAGGTTAGAAAGCACCTCTGGAGGTCATCTGGTCCCACCTCCCTGCTCAACCAGCACCACCTAGAGCCAGCTGCCCAGGGCTGTGTCCAAACGGCTTTTGAATATCTCCAAGGCTGGAGAATCTACAGCCTGTGCCAGTGCTTGGCCACCCTCACAGTGGAAGAAGTGTTTTGTGATGTTTCTAGGGAACTTCCTATGCTTCAGTTTGTTCTTCTTGCCTCTGGTCCTGTTACTGAGCAGCACTGAAAAGAGCCTGGCTCCATCTTCTCTGCACCCTCGTTCAGGTGTGTAAGTACATTGATAAGGTCTCCCCAAGCCTTCTCTTCCCCAGACAAAGCAGTCCCAGCTCGCGTGTGAGAGCCTTTCTTCACGTGAGGGCTGCTCCCGTCACTTCATCATCTTCCTCGCCTTTCATTGGACTCTCTCCAGGATGTCCGTGTCTCTCTTGTACTGGGGAGCCCCACACTGGACACAGTGCTCCACATGTGCCTCTCCAGTGCTGAGCAGAGCAGAAGGATCCCCTCCCTCAACCTAACGCAGCCCAGGACACCACTCACCTTCTTTGTGGCAGAGGCACCTCGCTCACTGATATTCACTTGGTGCCCACCAGGACCCCCAAGTCCTCTCCCACCACCCAGCTGGGTGACCCCCACCATGTATTGATGCGTAGGCTTGTTCTTCCCCAGGGAGAACTTCAGGAGGTCCCTGTCAGCCCATTTCTCCAGCCTGTCCAGGTCCCTCTGGATGGCAGCACAGCCCTCTGGTGCATCAGTCACTCCTCCAAGTTTGGTGGCATCTGCAGACCTGCTGAGGGTACGCCCTGCCCCATCATCCACATCTTTAACGAAGATGTTAAACAGGACTGGGCCCCGTATCGACCCCTGGGGTACACCACTAGTTCCTGGCCTCCAGCTAGACACCATGCCGTGGGTTCACCCCCCTCGGGGCCTGGCCTTTCAGCCAGTTTTCCATCCACCTCACTGCCTCCCCATCCAGCCTGTACCTCAGCAGCTTCCCTGCCAGGATCTGATGGAGACAGTGTCAAAGCCCGGGTATCCACTGCTCTCACCTCATCTACCAGGCCAGTTATTGCATCATAGACTTTTTATCAGGTTGATCAAGCATGATCTGCCCTTGGCAGACTACTCCTGATGATCATCTTGTCGTTCCTGTGCCTGGAAATAGTTTGCAGGATTAGCTGCTCCATTACCTTCTCAGGGGTCAAGGTGAGGCTGACTCAGCTGCGATTTTCTGGGTCCTTCTTGAAGACAGGAGTGGCATTACCTTTCCTCTTCAGGAAAGTCTTCAGGCACTTCTCCCAAGCACAATCGATCAAAGATCAAGAGTGGCCTCACAGTGACATCTGCCAGCTCCCTCAGAACTCGTGGGTGCATCCCATCAGGGCCTGTGGACTTAAGTGTGTCCAGGTTTGTTTTGTCCAGGATCCCCGAGCTGATTCTGTTCCACCAAGGGTGCATCTTCCTTGTTCCATGTTATCCCCCTGGTTTCTGCGACCTGGGATTCCTGAAGACTGATCTTGCTAGTAAAGACTGAGGCACAGAAGGCATCCACAGCCTTTTCCGTGGTCTGTGTAACCAGGTCCCTGTTCTCAGGGAGGAAGGTGCCCACATTTTTCCCAGTCATCTTTTTGTCACCTCTGTACTCACAGAAACCCTCCTTGTTGTCCTTGACATTCCTGGCCAAATTAAATTTCCTTTGGGCTTTGGCTTTCCTGATCTCATCCCTGGCTGCTCAGATGACGTCTCTGTATTTCTCCCAGGTTACCCGTCGTTGCATTCACCCTCTGTAGGCTTCCTTTTTGTGACTGACTTTGTCCGGGAGCTCCTTGTTCATCCACGTAGGCCTCCTAGCATTTCTGCCTGACTCCTTACACACTGGGATGTACCAGTGTTGAACTTGGAGGAGCTGATCCTTGAATCCTAACCAGCTTTCTTGGGCACTTCTTCCCTCCAGGGCCTTATCTCACAGGACTTTCCAGGCAAATCTTTGAAGAGGTCAAAGTCTGCTCTCCTGAAGTCCCATCTTGCTTGTGATAAAGGGGGGTAAAACCCCCCTTTCTGAACTCCACCAAGGCCGCCTTTGACCTTCGCCTTCCCAACAAGACCCTCTTTTTGTGTGGGTGTGAGGTCCAGCCTCTGCCACTCCGAGGAGGAAGTTGCCATCGGTGCTGTCCAGGAGCCTGGTGGATTGCTCACGTCCTGTTGGCTGCTCCCTCCAGCAGATAACGAGTTAATCAAAGTCCATGAGGACCAGCGCCTGCGAGCGAATGTGAGGCTGCTCCTGTCTCTTTGTAGAGGGCCTGATCCTGTTCTTCCTGGGCAGGCAGCCTGTAGTGGGCACCCGCCTGGTGTCACCTTTACCTGCCCTGTCTTGAGCCCTGACCCGTGAGCTCTCGGTTGGCTCCTCACCCATCCCCAGGCAGAGCTCCAGGCACTCCAGCTGCTCTCTCACACAGAGGGCAGCTCCTCGGGGAAGAGGAGGTCTTGTTCTCCTGGCTGGAAGCAAGTTGTTATCCTGTGGAACTGAGCTGCTTCCTGAGCTCAGAGGGTGTTTGCTTCCATTGTTTGCTTTTCTGCATTTCACAAAGAGGCTGTAAGGTCTGGCAGTTCTTCTCCGTTTTGTTGATGTAGAGAATTCTTTGTTGTTTTGCAATGAGGTCGTGTGAGCCCGTTCCCTGCTCTGCAACATCTCTAAACAATGGACCAGGAGTTCACATGGAGCAGTAATGTTAGGAAAAAAATGCCTTTTTTTCCCCAAGTGTGCTGTCAGTGAGGAACGCGCTCATGCCTGTGGAACAAGGCTCCCCTTTCCCAAAGAGCAGACAGCTCCCGCGACTTCCACCTCTTACTGACATCTCCCGGTGTTGCTGTAGCTAAATCCCAGCACAGGTCTGTGGGGATTAATGGAGTCCTGGGTTTTGTTTAATGGTGTGTTATGGTTCTCTAGCTTGCAATAAAGAGAACTCCCTGAATCTGTTTTTTACCACTTAATTAGGAAGGCAGTTCAATCTCCCAGTTTGCTGTTTCAGAGCTTAATTTGCCGCTTTTTCCTCTGACGCCCAGAGCCAGAGTGCCGGTGGCTGTGCCGGAGGAGCCAGCCTGGCTCCAGATGAGCTCCCTGCTTCCTCCCCGCTGGGTCAGGCTGGCCAAGGTCCCTGGCTGGGCTGTAGGTGTCTGAAAGCGAGTTTATGCTGTCCCTGACAGTATTCCCGATCTGTCCTCTCAGCGTCACTAGACATTGATCTTAAACATTGATTTGGTTTCCTTCTCCTTACATCTGAAGAGTTTTGTACTATTTCTTTGCTTTTATGGCATCTGTTGTTTCTATAGTGGTACACAGCTGCGCTAGACCAGGTGAGGGAAGCTGAGGATGCTCTGGTTCACAGTAGAAGCCCCTGATCTCCTAAAATACAGCCCCACAGGCTCATCCTGCGGTGTGCCATTCCCTCAACTTGTCTGCATTATCAGAGTTCGGGTTTTTCCTCTTTCTCCAGCCCCAAAAACTGATGTGGCGAGTGGATGCTGCAGGCTGCCCGTGGGGCCGGCTCCGCTGGCAGGGCTGGTGGGACACGGTTGGTCCGGTTTTGAGGCCGTTGCACACGGGTTGCAGCAGGATTTCTTTCATCACCGGCAGCAGCTCCGTGCACAGAGGGCTTGCTGAGGAAACCCCAACGCGCTGTGTGATCAGACACAGACCTTGGTGAGCTTAGTCATTTTTGGTGGGTACCCGCACCTGCAAACACGTTGGCTCGACACAAACGCAGGCTTGGCAGCGTGTCAAGCGTTGGAGAGAGCGGTGCAATGTGCTTGGTTTTGCATGCTCTGAATTCCTTCCAGCTGGAACCTCAGGACCACAAGCTGATACTAATTTTGCATTGTCAGACCTTGTTTATGCTGCAGCCGTGATTTTCCTGACGTATATTCACTCCATTGCTTTGCTCTTAAGCTGTCGCTCAAGGATTTGTGTGGAAGGTCCGGGTGGAGGCAGGGTATTCTCTGCGAAGGGAGGTGACCCACTTTGTGTGGGTGTGTGTACACATGTGGATGTTCTTTTCGAACTGGGAATGCTTTAAAGGCTGCAGGTCCTGTACGGTGTGCAGAGAAGGACGGTGGCAGCAATCTCTGAAGAGTCCCCGTGCTTAATAGAGCAGTGACATGGTAAGGAGATGCAGTGTCACTAGTTAATAGCATCCTGCCGTTTTTAGGATGCAACTCCCTTTTCTTTTCAACACTTTCCAAGAGGGAACCTTGCCAGTGCTTCACAGACCTCAGAACTCGCTCCCTTGTAATTCCTCCAGCCTTGGAGGCTGTTTCGGGCACGAGTTTTCTTCTCCTTTGTGTGGGGCGGGCTGTGTACCTCCTTTCTGGCTCGGTATGAGAGCAGCAGTGTTATTGATGAAGAGGCTCTTCAGCTGCCTGGCTCTGCTCAGCCGCGAGCTGCGTGGAGAGCAGGAGAGAGCGGGTGCAAGCCCTGGGCTTAATGCTCTAACCCAGACAAGCGCTGGTTGTGATCCACGTGTCGTGAGCATGGGCTCCCGTATGTCCCAAATTATCTGTTGGCAGATGTTTTTGTGGCTTTAAAACTAACTTGCAAACCAGCCTCCAGCCGTGAGAAGGGCCAGAGTGAGCAACGCAGTCACCCACGCTGCCGTGGGGCCTCGGCGTGTCCCGTCCCATCAGCGCAGAGTCCTCCTCTGGCTCTCACGGCACTGCCCGTGACTGGGAACACCTGAGGAATTTGGGTGTTTGGGATTCCTTCTGTGCCTCGCAAATCTAGTCTGTTCCAAGCTATAATAATTTCTTCTGTCTCTGCATAAAAACAAAAGGCTGGGTTTGTACAATCCATATGGAGTCATTAAAAGGGCAGTGGTGGTTGTGTGCGGTACGTTGTCAGGGACTGGGTGTCTGTTGCGGATAAAGCAAATAGAATGAGGAAGGGTGATGCGAGGGCTCGTCAGGCAAGGCTGGGGAAAATATCTATATTCCTGACATGAGCAAATCCTTCAGAAAGTGTTAAAATTGTTGAGTCCTGAGGACATTCAGACAAGAATCCTCAGCTGGTAGTCTGAACACACAACTGTGTTACACACGGGGAGTCTGACAGACTCCCAGCCCTGAAAGTGTGTCCTTAGGTTAATTCAATGTGGGGAATGTTAAAGCACGGTTCTGGTATCTGGGTAGCTACCTGCTTCAGGGAGCTCTGGAGAAACAGAAATAATTCTGGGAAGCTAATAGCTGCAAGTGAATTCCCATGGCAGTGGCTGTGTATGATCAGGTGTAATTACAGGATGTGGAGATCAAGGCGGGCTGTTTAATTGATTGATCCTTGCGAGTTGGACTGGAGATGTTCTGACAGGCTGTAGCACCAAGGCTCACCTTTCCCAGCCACTTATTTTTGCGGTAGCAGCCGCTGTGTGACGCATCCTCCAGCGGCCCGTTTTGTACAGCGCTGCAGCCTGCGGGGAGCTGGGCAGGGTGCAGGGGGAAGCTGCCCCGGGCTGAGGGACCTTGACCCTGAGGTTGGTGGGAAAAGCCAGGCAATCTGCTTTTGAGGGGAGACACATCTGTCCTGGCACAGCCCAGGGGTGCTGGGTCTGATCACTGTCTGGTTTACAGCGATGGGGAGGCGCCCGGGGGGAACCCCATGGTGGCGGCTTTCCAAGATGACCTGGATCTGGATGACAAGATCCCCAGCAGACCCATGCTGGCAGCAGAACGGGTGCCCAGCAAGAACGTCACCCTCTCCAGCGAGGAGGAGGAAGAGGAAGAAGCGAAGAACTCGAAGGTCGTGCTCATACCTGATGAAGACATTGACACGGAGCAGGAAAAAAAAAGGTACGAAGCACAGCCTGAAGTGGGGGGTTGTGCTAGCAAACTGGGGCTTCTTCTCAGACCTGCCACCGACTTCTGTGCAGGCGCTGGGAAGACTCGAGGGGTCTGTCAGCCTGTTCCTTCAGCTGTGAGCTGGGGCTGTAGGTACTTCAGGATGGCTGCTTCCCGCAGTGTTTTCTGCACTGCCCCCAGGCAGCGTGCCTGTGAGCGCTGCAGTCACTGGTACCTTTGTGCTTGGGAATGGCCCAGCCTTTTCCCCAAGTTTGAACAAGAGGCTGTAACAGAGCGCCTGGACGTCTGTTCATAGCAATGTGAGGAGAGCAGAGGAGTCACGGCTTGTGGCGAAGGGAGTGGAAGTCGTTCACCGCACCCTGTGCTGGAGAACGATGAACCGGACCGTGTTCTCCGCATATCACATCCTGCGGGCGATCGTCAGGCCTGGCCCCTGTGCGCATCAGCAGCCACAGGGACACGAGGGTTATCTTCAGCCTGGGGGCAGCCCCCCCGGGGATGACCTGCCGTTGCTGCCGAGATGCACATTGCAGCCCTTGAGGCAGGCTCGGCTGTTTAATTGGCCACTGTGCTTCGCTTCACAGAGCGGGGGTGGACGGGCTCTGACAACTTGTTTCTTTCTTCTCAGGTCTTCCAGAAACTCTCTGAAACCACAGAGTGAAGCAATTTTGACCAAAGCAACTGACACGAAGCCTCCTGACAGTTTACCTCCGCGTTCTGGGTCCGAAAGAAACAGCAGCAGCAAGGTCAACCCCAGCCTGCCAGCTGCTGCTGCTGCCACCCCAGCAGCAGCCCAGGCCCCAAAGACCACTTCCCAAAGCAAAGGACATGCTCTCAAGCAGAAAGTGGTCAAAGAGGAAAAGCCTGAGGAGTCTGACAGTGATCCAGAGGGACCAATAGCTACTCAGATGCTCTCGTTTGTTATGGATGACCCAGACTTCGAAAGTGAGGATTCTGACAGCCAGAAGAAGAAAATGGTAAATAACGTGCATAAATTGCCGGGCGCTGCTGCAAAGCTGAGCTTGAAGTGTTGAGGCATCTCGCTGAGCAGAGCTTTCATCTGCTCTCCCATCTCTCAGCACCAGTCACAGCGAGTCAGGTGCTAAGCAACCTGAAGAGATTGATATAAGCACAAACCCACTAAGGCTCTGGTTGTGGAAGCCACACGACAGCGAGGTTCGTGCTTGTGGGTCTTAATGTGCTGTTTATTCTCAGCGAGTCCAAAGCATGGTCAGTCCAGCAGTGTGGAAGGTATAAAATACAAAGCCTAATGGGTTTTCACCCAAAGTTCAGCATGTAGAAGGGTGTGCCTGCCAGAGAGAGCAAGCTCCCTACAGTCAATCCAGCCGTCAAAAGGCCGTAACAGAATTTGCCTGGCAAAGCTTCTTACTGAAGTAGGAAAATCTGCCCAAGAAAGACATCCCAGCGTCGCCAGGTTGGCTGTAACATCTCAGTGCGAGGGCAGCTGCACAGTCCTGCCTGCAAACACTCGATCCCAGAGTCCCCGCTGCCCCTGTGTGGGGCACTAAAGATGTGACAGGTATCTTCTCTGGGCCAGTAGGAACTTGCTGCTCTGGCTGTCCCTGGTTTCAGTGATCCGTACTCGCAGCCAGCAAAGCAATCTGGAGAAGCTGCTCACCGGTGTTTGGGACGGGCAGTTGCTGTTCCTGGTGTCTGGGTTCCCTGCTGCTCAGGAGTGTTTTGTGTGTTTGCATGATTCCAGAATCCTGCAGAGAGGATGGTTATCTCAGTTTCTTTGACCTTGCCTACGTGTCATGCTGTTTATTAAGTAGTTTTCCATTCATTTAGCATTTTCAGTTCTTGCTTCTCTCAGTACTTCTGTATGAAAGTAAAAGTATTTGGAGCAAGTTCATTTCTCTTAGCGTGCAGTGATGAGAAAGGGGATTTCCTGTTGCGACAGTGTCAGGGAGATGCCCCACAACCTGTGAATGCTTTTCAACCACAAGATTTACTGGTCAGGCAGAGCAGTAAAACCAGCACCGTTAGCAAGGAGGAGGAGTGCATTGCCCCCAGATCTGCAGCAGAGCCAAGTCGTGCTTGGTCAGTGTGGAGATGTTAAGAAAGGCTGGTCAATGAATTCTGAAAAGGAGCGGTTGGCAGGTGTCAGAAGATCATTAAACTTCATTTCCATTCTCGTTGTACAGAGACAGAGGATTGTTGGGTGATATCCACTCTCTGCAGCATCCTGGGTTTTGCTCCCAGGGCCCCTTTGACCACAGAATCACAGAATCACAGAATGTTTGGGGTTGGAAGGGACCTCAAAAGATCCCCCAGTGCCACCCCCTGCCAGAGCAGGGTCACCCAGGGCAGCCCCACAGGAACGCGTCCAGGCGGATTGGAAAGTCTCCAGAGCAGGAGACTCCACACCCTCTCTGGGCAGCCTGGGCCAGGGCTCCGGCACCCGCACAGGGAAGAAGTTTTTACTAATATTTCTGTCGAACCTCCTGTGCTCCAGCTTGTACCCGTTGCCCCTTGTCCTGTCATTGGACATCCCTGAGCAGAGCCTGGCTCCGTCCTCCTGACACTCCCCCTTGACGTATTTATAAACATTGATGAGGTCACCCCTCAGGCTCCTCTTCTCCAAGCTAAAGAGCCCCGGATCCTTCAGCCTTTAACTCTCGGGTCGATTAAGGGAATTATTGCTCTGCAAACACAGGCCCGTTCCTTGGCCCTGCTGCCTGTTGTTTCAGATACCCGAGGTGGCACAGAGCTACGCAGCAAAAAGGTTTTGTCTGTCAGGCCCAGAGGTCAGTTTTCCCCAAAAGAGAGGGGCCTCACCAGGGCAGTTAGAGGCTGATGCTGCTGAGCTAACACAGGTGAAGATCTTGTTTAATCCGTTTGCATCAAGAATTTGATTATCGTAGCACAAATGTTATCAGAGCACGCTTTCCGGCACTTGTGCTCCTGAGGCATTTTACTAAGGCAAGAGATAGAGCTTATAAGCTCACAAGCATTGATTTCCAGGCAGTAACAGCTACCATTTCCTTCCCTGCTCCCCACCTCCTGACATCTGGCGTCCTCGGGTACAACAAGCTTAGAGATTTTGGTTGAAAGATTTGTCGGTGTTGTCTGGCTTTTGTCGTCTCTAGGATGAATTCCCAGTCCGGGAAGATCTCTCTGAAACATCTGATGATGATACCTCACTGGCAAAGCCACCCCAACCTGTGAAATCAACAGTCCACTCCTTCAAACTGAAAAATGACTCGGATCTTTTTGGTTTGGGTTTGGAAGAAACCGGTCCCAAGGAGAGCAGCGAGGAAGGTAAAGCTCACGCCTTATTTCCACTTCTGCTGGTTTTGTTTGTCAGGCATTTGCTTTTTCAGAAATGGTTCTAGGGTGTAAGCAAACCAGTCTGCACGAAATCAAATACCCTGTAGCTTCACGCAGTGCCCCGTGTGAGCCTTTAATGTGGTTTAACACAGCGTAAATCACTTTGAGGTTTTTCCCCATGGGAGAGGGCGAGCTTTGCTCATCCGTGGCCTCAGCCATGCAGTATTTTTGTCGTGGCTGGAAGCAGAGGCACGTCTTTCCCAACCTGCTTCTGTATTAGGCTCCCCACTTAGCCTGGCATGCCTGGGAAGTGGGGTTCAGCGCTGCAGTGTCCACCCCCTCAAAAATTTGGATCTTGAGCAAAACACTCTGATGTACCCCGCCAATTTGCCTTCATGTTTTTGGGCAGGGTGGGGCGAGGTTCTGATCACAACCTAAGTGTTCCTCAGGCTTTTTTCTCCTTCCCCCCTTTCCCTGAGGGATGAAATCTTATTTGCGCAAATAATTTTGCGGTGTCTTGGCAGTACTGCAAAGCAGCTTCCTGTAGATCTGCTCCTGATGTCACCATGAAAGTCGGGAAGTTAAAGACTTAAGGCTGTAAGCAGCACCAGAGAGAGATCTCCTTGAATAGCTGTTCCAAAAGCGTGAGCAAGGTGTCACAGGCTGCGATGGCTTCACCAGCCTGTCGCTCTGAGGTGCTGAACAGCACAGCTTGAAATAGCTGGAAGTGCATCTGCAGAGGCACGGGTCAATAATTTAACTTCAGCTTAGCATCTTTAATAATTCAACGTGGGTTCCTCCTGTCTCCTCTTTCTGGGATAAATATAAAAGCGTGTCTTGGTAATCAGTCATTTCGAGCTTGCCCGGCAATTAGACTTCTCCACGGCTGACTTGTATTTCCAGATCAACCAAGGGGAAAAAAAAAAAGAGTGTGTAGGTGAGACTGACAGTCAAATACCACGTGTGGTCCTAGAGCCTCCTGTGAAACAGTTGAGCGGACAGTCCCCTGCTCGAGGAGGTTGTGCACAAAGCCGTCAAATCTGCAGCCGAGTCATCGGCCACCATATCCTGGGACAAATGTTTCGCCAGCAACGGGCTCTGGGACTCGTTTGGCGCCGTGAGAGCAGGACAGGGCTGCGGCGCCGACGCTCTGGCCTCGCGGTGACACCGGTTCCGTACCCGGTTCAAATGGCGGCGAGGGCCATTCGTGGGCTGGCGCTGTGTCCACGGTGCTCCGGCCGTTATTAGCTCAGCTCGCAGAAGCACAAGCCGTGCCTGGCAGGATTTCCATCTGCCTTCAAGTATTTAGTGGTCAAGGCGAAAGTGTTCCGGGAGCTCTTCTTCAGGAATTAATAATCTGGTCCCCACGTTGGCCTTTGCACCAGCTCGTAATGCTCTTCTCTGCATTTGTTTCTTAGTAGCTGTGGTGGAGTGATCCTGGGTCAGTGTTCATAGCACAGGGTGATATAGATAATATAATGCTCATAGTTAAAGTAGATGGGTATGGTTAAGTTTGGGTGCAACTGCTGGGGCCTGTGTTGGTTTCTAGAGGGGCACGGTTTGTCCCGAGGTGTTTGCACATGGCTCCAGGATGGAATGTTTTGTTCTCAGAAATCGGGGCAGGGCAGGATTGCATCTCCTGTGGTTTAAATTGATTAAAACCAACGTTGTTTGTCTTGTTTGAACAGATAAACAAGCTTCTAAGGAGAAAAAGAAGAAGAAAAAGAAAAGCAAAGAGGTACTATTTAATTCCTTAGAGCTGCTCTGCTCTTACTTACCAGCCCAGGTGAGGGGTGGCCGTCTGCAGTGTGCTCTGTGTGCCCGGTGGACTTGCTCCCGTTCTCAGCCCTGCAGCCAGGTCTGTGCCTCCCAGGCTCTGCAGGCCATGAAGCTCAAAAGCAGGCTTTTAGACCAGCTGAATTTTGAAAAAGCAGCGTGTGAGTTCATGAAATACGGGATTAAACGGGGCAGTGTGTGTCTGGTGACAGCACCGTGGCTTTTCCCGAGCAGAGAGGTGTCCCCCACAGACCGAGAATCAGAGGAAAGTCTGCAGGAGGCTTCGTCTTGACATTTCTGCCAGTCCAATTCCGTGGCACTGTCAGGCACAAACTGCCTGCCAGGCCACTGCTATGTGTAAATCACATGGTCTTTCCTCTTTTCTGTCCAAACTCACAGAAGGGTCTTCCAGAATTAACTCCAAGCCAGCCTTGGTCCTAGATGCTTCACCCTAAGTCAGGTTGCTGTCAGAGCCAAGCTTCAGGGCGACACGTGCTGGGTTACTGCCACGCTCGGAGGATTTGCTAATAAAAATGTTCTCATTTTGCAGGAGGAGGAGAAGTCTGTGAAAAAGAAGAGCAAGCACAAGAAGAGCAAAGAGAAGGAGGAGAGCAAAGAGGAGAAAGAGAAAAAGAAGAAGAAAAAGAAGAGCAAGGAGAAGAACAGCGAGATAGATGAACTTGAGGCTTTTCTTGGAGGAGGAGGAGCCAGTGTGAGCAAGCCTCGAGGAGGTGGGGACTATGAGGAGCTCTAGGCTGGCCGCGTGTACGCGCAGCGGACTCTTCCGTCGTGGCTGTCTCCATCTTTTCTTACGAGCCACACCAGGACAGGGGCAGATGTGTAAAGCTTTGGCCGTTTGCCGCGTGTTCTCGCGAAGCGGAGTCGGCAAAACGAAAAGCTTCGCATCTGCGTGGGCTGTTCTGGTGCGTTCGCTACACAAAGCAAACCCGGCTGAGATGTACTTGAGTAAGGGGAAGGTTCAGGACGGGGTTCCCGGCTGCCAGGCTGTCATTTTTTCTCCTTCCAGAGATGCCCTGTCACATTGCTGGCGGGGTGTGGGAGGCGAAGGGGACCTGCCTCCTGCTCCGCCCCTGCTGTATTCCGCTCCTGCGCACCCAAAATTCCTGTCTTGTTAAGAGGAGTGCAACAAAACATGCCGCATGAACGCATCGTGCTCGCCTGCCTCGAGTGTGTAACTTCTGATCCTTCCTATTTTTGTAATGAGAAAGGTGGCATTGGCCGTTGCTCCACCCAGCAGTTGATGGGCTTTCAAACGAGCAGATGGTGCTGTGGGACAGCGCTCGAAAACAGCAGCCGCAGGGCCGGCGCGAGAGCAGGTGTGATTTTGGACCTTTCTGCACAGCAGCTTAATTAGCACTCACTGGTGCTGCTGGTGGAATTCATGAAGCCCCATTGATTTCCGTGGCCCCAGTGTCTCAGACACTACACGTAAGCTGCTATGCAGTTTGGGAAAACAATGCAAAGTGCAAAGCTAACTGGAAAACGAGAGAGAGGAAAATCAGTGCTTTCCTGCATTTCCCACCCTTGAATTTCCATATACTAGAATCCCTTCCCTTCGGCACCTCTCAGGGACGTGACTCTCCCATGGAAATGAAGATATCCGGAGCTCCAGACCTGTCTGCGGGGGGAGTGTTAGCATGGCAGGGCATTTGCTTCTCAGGCATTTTACAGCCACGCTGTAAAACACCGTCTGCCAAGAGGGACAGCTGCTGTAGCTTTGGCAGTGTCCTTCCCCGCCCGGCCGAGCCCGGCCCGCAGCCCCGGTGACTGGGCTGAGCCCGCTGGCAGCCCAGGGTCTGCCTTGCCCTGCCCCGAGCCCTTGAGCCTGGGAAGCCTTCTGATTTTGGCTTTCAGCCTAACACCTGTGGATCAGTACCTGCTTGGCAGCACCGGTTACCGTTGGACGGGCACTATGGGCCGGCCCCCGGCGCTTGCCCGTGGCTCGGGGAGCAGCCCCTGAGCTTGACAGAGTTCGTTCATTCTCCCCACCCCTTGTGTTTGGGTTCTGGTGGCCCTTCTGGTGAAGCTCCCTCCAGGTTCTGTGCATTACGTTTCCCTGTTGCCTGCAGGTTGATTTTGAGGTTTGGTTTTGTTCTCCCTTTCCCCTTTTTGTTGTAAAATGTCAATCATGAAATCCAGCCCGAGGTTTCCTTCACATCCCTATGAAGCAAGGTGTTCTTTGATCTCTTATCCGCTCCAGACTTGTCTTGACCAGCAGGCAGCTGCCTGCTCCATTTTTCTTTTTCTTTGCCCCAGCACCCAAAATGCACTTGTAACTCCCTGTAAAACAAACTGGTTTGGGTTTGGGGTTTTTTTGGCTGCATGAGCAGTAGATTGTTCGGGTCCGTTTGCCATTAGCGTTTACGTACTTCTCGGATCATTACCGCATTTCACGTGACGCCGTAGGGAAATTGCATGGGACAGCTCAAACTTTGCACGTGCGGGGAAGAAAAACGCGGGTCGGGACGTGACCGGTTTGCGGCCTCTCTTGCGAACAGGCAGGCGGGCGTTCGAGCTTCAGCTGGCTGCCTTCCCGAAAGCGCTTCTGCTCTGTGAAGACTTTGGGTCGTGTTCCATTTTGCATCGAAAAAAAAAAAAGAAACAAACCAACAACACCTGGTACGGTCCATTCTGACTATAAAGCTCTGTTGTACAACTGCCTCTGCACGTCTTCTTCTCCACCGTGAGCGCCGGGCTCGGGAGCTGCGTGTCCCTCCGGGGCTGTTTTACGGGCGGGCGTCCCGCCGCCCCTTCCTCCTGCTGGTGCGCTCTTACGCTTCGTGGAACCGGGCGGTAAATTAAAAATCATTCCAAAAAAAAAAAACGACGACACCGACAAAAAGCTGAATGTAAAAACCAACTTCCCTCCCCAAAGCTGAAGTCTGTCCTACGAGAGCTGTTGTTTCCCCCAGCGCAAGGGAGATGGCGTTTGGGTTTGGCTCGGGGTCGCAGAAAGCTGCGCGAGCGCCCGGGGAGCTCCGGGGCTGGTAGGGGTTTGTCTCTGCCCTGGGCCAGATCTGAGCGCCGGAGGAGCCTCCGAGCTCCCTGGGGCTCGTGTTCTGTGTTAGCACAAGGAGCTGAGACAAAAACAAGCACAGATGGGCCAGCACGTTCCAAAATATTTCTTTAAAAGAGAAAAGGCAGATGCAGGAACCTGCTTTACTTACGCTCGAGCCCCAGGAGGGCGCGTGCCGTGTTTTGGCTTTGGCAGCAAGGCTGGAGAAATCCCACCCTGTGAGTGAAGCGGGAGCATGGAGGGGAGTAGAAGCAAAAAAGGTGCTTTTTAGACTTAGACTTCTTGCTTTTTCAGGGAATGCTGAACTGGTTGGGGCTACAGCATGAGATGTAATCCAGTGCCAGCAAACGTGAGTGAGGGGAGAAAGAAAGAGACCTTGTCTGAGCTGGGCTCTCCCATGCCTGGACTTTCGAATAAGCTAAATATAAAAAGTGTGTGTACGTGCCTGTCGTTACGGGGAAGCTTCTGCAGGATCACGTCGATATAAATAGTTCCTGTGAGCATCTCTAGAGGTGCCAGAGTGTTTGCTTTTGGGTTTATCAGCCATCCACACAAAAAGAAAATTAAAAAATCAAGAGCTTGAGGCTGAGGAGCTGCAGTTTTCTTGCAGTCAGCGCTGGCCAGAGCCACATGCCGTGCAAGCTCTCAGTGGGTTTGGGGCAGGAGGGAGAAGTGTGAATTTCTTGCTGCCTTCGTGTCCTGCCAGCCCGGCACTGGTCCGTGGGGGCTGCTGCTGGAGGGACATGCCTGAGACCTACTGCCTGCTCCCCGGCCTCAGCACCGCTAGGCATCCACGGGGTGTGACACAATTGTGTCTCGACTCCCACTGTGCCGCCTTGAAGCCAGAGCGTTCATGGTAAGTCACGAGAGGTGACTCCGAGGTCCCTGTGTCTTCCAAGCCGGGATGGCTGAGCTGGTGACTGAGTCTCCACGGGGTGTGGAGCAAGAGCTGCTGGACGAGCAGCCTCCAGCATCGGGCTGGTCTGGCAGCCCTCTGGGAGAGGAGACTGGTCCGTGTCCGCTTTGAGATGGTGCGTGTCGTATCGCGGCTGGGATTTGCGCTGCTGACCTGACGCAGACGGGAGCTGGGTGCCCAGCAGTTATTTCGGGGCGTTTCTTGCTGTCCCTGTCCCTGGAGCAGGACGATCCAGCGTGATGGTTTGCAGCTCCCGTCACTCTTGGCAACTCCTGGCGCGTGACTCGATGCGGCTGCAAGACGCTGGTGAAGTCACACCCCGAGAGCGGGCTGACGTTTCCATCTCCGCAGCGTTCGCAGATGCACCTTCTGCGCTGGCAGCCCTGTGCTTCCCCAGCTGGGAGCTCGTTTTAGCGAGACCTTCTAGCTCACCTCCGCACTTCTGCATCCTCTCCCCGAGGATTCCTCCTATGCGCAGGCAGCGGCGTCTTTCTCCTGATGGCCCGTGTCTCCTTAGCACAGGTGGCCGTCCCCACTTGCTGAAGCTTTTGCTCATGTTCATCTGTGTTAGTGATTGTCACAAAACTCATCCCTGCAAAGGAATCAAGCTGCTTAGCGCTGCTGCGGAGCCGTGTGCCCCCAGCCCTGCACGGCCCAGCCTGTGCCAGAAGGACCAGGTAGAAAAATGCCCAGAGTGGCCAGTTCTTGTGACTCCCACCACCCCGCACCAGCTCAGCGTTCAGCCTCTCTGCAGAAAGCTGTCCCTCCGTCTTGGGCTCGGGAGCTGTCTGATAAACGCCACCCAGATCCATCCCTGGCCGGTTTATGCTTTGCCAGCACCATTGCTCAAATGCTGCTGCCCGCTCCGAGCGCTGGGCTGTGGCCGGGGGTGGCTCATGTCCCTGCTCGGCTTTTGCTGCCCCGGCCGTGAGAGCAGCAGCCTCGGCACGGCGCCCCTTCGAGTTCACCCTCCTGAGGTCGTGCCAGGGCTGGTGCTGAATGATTCCTGTACAACACAACTCCTGTGCTGTGGCCTTTTTCAGCACTCGCTCCCCGCTGCACCGGCTCTTCATCGCTCCCCGTGATTCCTGGACAGGGACCATGTGCCAGGAGTGCAGCGATCCTGCCCTCGGAGGGGTTCAGCCTCACCCTCTTTCCCCTGCTCCTGCACGGTGCTAAGATTTTCCATGGCTTGTCAAGGCGCAGGGTGGGAACGTGCTTCCTTCCCTCCAGGGGCAAGTGTGAGTAGTTTATGGACAGTGAGTTTTAGCAGGACGTGTGCCTGTGGGGATTCGCGGGTGCTTTTGGGGGAGGCCTGTCCTGAGAGCAGCTGCGGGACCC